GTGGTGTGTGGTTCGCGTGTTGTGTGTTCAGTGTGTTGTGCGTGTGTGGTGTGTGTGTGTTGTGTGTGTTGTGTGTGTTGTGTGGTCTGTATGTTCTGTGTGTTATGTGTGTGTGTTGTGTGTGCTGCGTGTTGTGTGTTGTGTGTTGTGTGTGCTGTGTGTGTTGTGTGTGCTGTGTGTGTTGTGTGGGTTGTGTGGGTTGTGTGGGTTGTGTGTTGTGTGTGTGTGTGTTGTGTATTGTGTGTGTTGTGTGTGTTATGTGTTGTGTGTGATGTGTGGTGTGTGTGTGCGTTTATGTGTGGGTGCGTGCGTGCGTGCGTGCGTGCGCGCGCGCGCGGGCGGGCGGGCGGGCGGGCGGGCGTGCGCGCGGGCGCGCGTGCGTGCGCGCGTGCGTGCGTGCGTGTGTGCGTGCGTGCGCGCGCGTGCGTGCGTGCGTGCGTGCGCGTGTGTGTGTGTGTGTGTGTGTGTGTTGTGTGTTGTGTGTGTGCTGTGTGTAGTGTGTCTGTGTGTGTGTCTGTGTGTATGGTGGTGCGTGTGCGTGCGCGCGCGTGTGTGTGTGTGGGTGTGTGGGTGTGTGGGTGCGTCGGTGCGTGCGTGCGGACGGGCGGGCGGGCGGGCGTGGCGGGGCGGGGCGGGGCGTGGCGTGGCGTGGGGTGGTGTGGTGTGTGGTGTTGTGCTGTGTTGTGTTGTGGTGTGCTGTGCTGTGGTGTGCCTGCTCTGGGTTGTGCTGTGTTGTGCTGTGCAATGCTGTGTTGTGTTGTGTCTGTGCTGTGTTGTGCTGTGTTGCTGTGCTGTGCTGTGCTGTGCAATTATGTTTTGTGTCTGGGTTGTGTTGTGTTGTGTTGTGCTGTGTCGTTGTATTGTTGTGTTGTTGTGGTGTTGTGCTGTTGTGTTGTTGTGCTGTTGTGTTGTTGTGTTGTTGTGTTGCTGTGTTGTTGTGCTGTTGTGCCGTTGTGTTGTTGTGTTGTTGTGTTGTTGTGGTGTGATTGGTGTTGTGGTGTGTGCTGTGGGTTGTGTGCTGTGTGCTGTGGGTTGTGGGTTGTGTACTGTGGGTTGTGTACTGTGGGTTGTGGGTTGTGGGTTGTGCGTTGTGGGCTGTGGGTTGTGGGTTGTGCGTTGTGGGTTGTGGGTTGTGGGTTGTGCGTTGTGGGTTGTGGGTTGTGGGTTGTGGGTTGTGGGTTGTGGGTTGTGGGTTGTGGGCTTCGGGGTGCGGGGTGCGGGGTGCGGGGTGCGGGGTGCGTGTTGTGTGTTGCGTATTGCGTGTTGCGTGTTGCGTGTTGCGTGTTGCGCGGTGTTGTGTTGTGGTGTGGTGTGGTGTGGTGTGGTGTGTTGCGCTGCGGTGCGGTGCGGTGCGTTGCGTTGCGTTGCGGCGTGGCATGGCGTGGCGTGGCGTGTTGTCTTGTGTTGTGTTGAATTGTCTTGTGTTGTGCGTGTGCGTGTGCGTGTGCGTGTGCGTGTGCGTGTGCGTGTGCGTGTGCGTGTGCGTGTGTATGCGTGTTGTGTGTTGCGCGGTGTTGTGGTGTGGTGTGGTGTGGTGTGGTGTGGCGTGTTGCGCTGCGGTGCGGTGCGGTGCGTTGCGTTGCGTTGCGGCGTGGCATGGCGTGGCGTGGCGTGTTGTCTTGTGTTGTGTTGAATTGTCTTGTGTTGTGCGTGTGCGTGTGCGTGTGCGTGTGCGTGTGCGTGTGCGTGTGCGTGTGCGTGTGCGTGTGTATGCGTGTTGTGTGCTGTGTGTTGTGTGTGGTGTGTGTGTGTGTGTCTTGTGTGTGTCGTGTGTGTGTGTATTGTGTCTGTGTCTGTGTCTGTGTCTGTGTCTGTGAGTGGTTGTGTGTGTTTGTGTGTGTGTGTTTGTGCGTGTGCGTGCGTGCGTGCGCGCACGCGTGCGTGCGTACGTGCGTGCGTGCGTGTGTGTGTGTGAATGTGTGTGTGGGGGGGAGGGGGTGCGTGTGGGCGCGTGTTGTTGTGGTGTGATTGGTGTTGTGGTGTGTGCTGTGGGTTGTGTGCTGTGTGCTGTGGGTTGTGGGTTGTGTACTGTGGGTTGTGTACTGTGGGTTGTGGGTTGTGGGTTGTGCCTTGTGGGTTGTTGGTTGTGGGTTGTGGGTTGTGGGTTGTGGGTTGTGCGTTGTGGGTTGTGGGTTGTGGGTTGTGGGTTGTGGGTTGTGGGTTGTGGGTTGTGGGTTGTGGGCTTCGGGGTGCGGGGTGCGGGGTGCGGGGTGCGGGGTGCGGGGTGCGTGTTGTGTGTTGCGTGTTGCGTGTTGCGTGTTGCGTGTTGCGTGTTGCGCGGTGTTGTGTTGTGGTGTGGTGTGGTGTGGTGTGGTGTGCTGCGCTGCGGTGCGGTGCGGTGCGTTGCGTTGCGTTGCGGCGTGGCATGGCGTGGCGTGGCGTGGCGTGTTGTCTTGTGTTGTGTTGAATTGTCTTGTGTTGTGCGTGTGCGTGTGCGTGTGCGTGTGCGTGTGCGTGTGCGTGTGCGTGTGCGTGTGCGTGTGTATGCGTGTTGTGTGCT